TAGTATGTTGACTGACTAACAAAATGCAACGCATAATAAGAGACAAAGCCAAGTGTGCTAGCTCTGTGGAGGTGTGTCTCTATTTTTTTTTTTTTTACAATTGCTCTTTTCAAAGTAGAACAATAACATGCAGACTGGATTGAGAATCTGTAAATATTAGTTTTCAAGTCTTGTGACAGATTCTTGATTAAATTTAGGTCTGGACTTTGGGCAAATTGTTTCACTAGCAGCTGTAGCTGTATGATTTTAAGTTATTCTCCCAGTCAAAGAAAAAAAAACAGCTATTTTATGGTATATTTAGTTTTGCCAGCAGGCCAGAAAGTTTAGATTTGGTTTCATCTGACCACAGCACATTCTTTCTGTTTGCGATGCGGCGCCCCCTCGGTGGTCAGTAGGAAACCGAAAAAGAGGTGTTCTATAGTTTTGGTTAAACTTGTCACTACACTACGAAGGCCTTTATTTGTGCAGGTCCCTGCATCCGAGTTGTAAATCTTTACAGCTCACCCAGAGTTGCCATGAACCTCTTGGGTGGGTCTCTGATTAATGCTCTCGTAACTCAAACTGTCAGTTTTACGTTGACGCCCATGTGCTAGTACATTTGCAATTGAATTAAACCCTTTCTAATTTTAGATGATCATGTCCAAAGTGTAAAATATTGTTTTTATAACCCAACCCTTATTTAAAGCTCACCACAACTTTATTCCCGGCCTGTCTGCTGTGTTCCTTGGTCTTCATAATTCTGTTTCTTCACTAATATTCTCTAACAAACCTCTGAGGCCTTCATCGACCAGTTAGACTTATACGGGGAATTAATTAAATACAAGTGGACTCTATTTATTATTTGAAAAGGTATCTGAAGCAGGTTTATTGAACAGGATTGTCTGTGGTGGTATTACATTAACCATGTACAATTCTCCTCCTACATCACTGTCAGATGCCATTTTTGTGTTGGTCTATCATGTAAAATCCCAATAAAATACACACAGTTTTGTGGTTGTAACACGGCGAAATGTGGAAAAGTGCAGTAGTTGTGAATATTTCAAGGCACTGCCGACACCTTTCGATTGAACTCCTTCCAAGCAACATAAAAAATTGGATCGCTCCCACAGCTCTGATCAGTTCAGCCTCCAGATATAGCTAGCAAACCATTCCAGCTGATGACTCATTCAAATGCTGTCTTGTTTTTTTTTTTTGAGGAGGAGGAGGCGGGCATCCCTTGGCACAAGAAGCCCTCTGTTGTCGGTGCCATGATATTCTGCTAGCAGAGATAGGAAAGTATGAATGTTTCCTGTTTTTGTGCAACTTCAAAAGTGCAAAGTAGAAGGAATAATCAATGAGCTGTGGGGATTTCATCCACAATGTTCAGTTCGTATGTCTGGCAGGGAGAGTGAAAGCTTGCTGTGCACATAGTTTCAAATCTGATCTATTTTTTTAATCACCATAGATAATAAAACCAGAGCTGTTTGTTTTTCCTGCATTGTGAAATGATTTATTTCTACACCAAGATGGCATTTGAATATTTGCCAGCGGATAATTTTGCTATCAGATCCTACAGTTTTTGGCACTTAGCATTGTTTTTTTTGTTTTTTTTTCTGGTTTGACAGCTTGCTGCTTGTGTAAAATACACTCTTTCACAATGCAAATTCTTCCCGTTGAAAGATGATCCAGAAGGATACCTAGTGTGTCAAGACCTCATACAGAGGTAGCCTGAAGCAATGGTGCATGATGGGTTGGGAACATGACCAAGCTCAGTAGTTAATACAGAAAACATAAAATACATCAGTTATTTAATGCTTTGACAGAAAGAATAAAGCTAATGCTTTGCATCTGTCAGGGAGAGTGTCAAATTTCTTTTTCTTGTTAGTTCGATATGCATTGTGCAAACGTTTGTATTCGGCTCTCCTGAGTTTAAAAGAAACACTTTTCCCCCATTTTTCTGATGCAAGTCTTTGGAGTGTGTCTCCACAGCTGAGACAGAAATGTATATCCTTGTTTGTTTGTTTTTTATTAAGGTTTTGTTGCCTCTAGTGACCTTTATTTGAAAGTAGACCAACAGGAAAGAGGGTAATGAGGGAAGGGGAAAGAAATGTGGCAAATGTCGCCAGGCTGGGAATCGAACCTGGGACCACCACCACAAGGACTAAAGCTTTCATATGTGGGTCGTGCTTTGCCCCTGCATTACCACAGCACCCTTTGGTTTGATTAATAGCCCTAGCTCAGTTGTGCTGAATGGACATCGTACGTCTTGCAGACGTTCTTAATTAGATTCAGGTTTGAGGTTTGACTGGACCATTTATGAATATGCTTTGATCAAAACCATTATATTTTCTATGTCTGCATTTCACTGCCCTGTGGAGGTGTAGCGAGATCTTGTTCTAGCCTGTTGAGGTCAGCGTGGCTTTGGATGATGAAGTTGCAATAGAAGATGCCCCCATTACTTTCAGATCAATTGTTTGACAAATTCTGGGTTCTCTGTAGGAACGATAAATGGTAAAAAAAAGTGACAAAACAGGTACAAGCAATCTTTAAGCACTTGCAAGTTGCTTAGATGCTGAAAGAGGCATAAAGCATCACAACTGGGAAATGGGAAATGTTGAAGCAATGCCCAACAGTCAATCTTTTTCTGATCATTAAAGTTTCCCTGAACATAATGTCAAAATGTCATCCCGTCTTGTTCACGTGAACTCGGCATTGTGTCTCATCTCGTCTTGTGAGTTTTAGGTATGTTACACCTTCAAGAATCCCATTAATTCTGACCAGGATTTCCTCACAGCCACGTTTTACCATGTTGATTGTGGGATTGTTTGTTCAATGTTAGTTCTCGGTCTGCACAACCTGACGGTGTAGGTTAAGGACAATGTCCTAATGGGGTTTCACTTCTGTAACGTGCTTCCCAGAGCTTTCGCTGTCTTCTTTGCTGGTTAGAGAGACTTTATAAAGTTAGATACTGTTTCCAGATGGCATGATTCAGAGCAGGTCTAAACAGTTTAAGTAAATCCATTCATGTTTCAGGACCGCAGGGTGTGTCTGGGAATGAGAAACATTGACACCGAACAGGAGGAAAATGTTCTTATTCCAGCATAACTTAGACGAAAGCAGTAGCTCCTGTAATGGCAGTAGCGAGCTCATAAATCAGATGGCCACCTGTCGACAGTCTTTTTTCCTAAAATCAACTGTGGACAACTGGAAACCATCTGGTCTGTGTCAGAATGCCGTTACAGGTGCCATAGCAACACGCACAAGGAAGAAGTAAAAGAGCCATGGTGGGAAACCGATCTGGGCAGCGCAGGACTAATCATCACAGCATGAAGGACTCCTGCTTCCAATTAAAAAGATCCTTCAAAGACCCAATGAATCACTCGTTTATGTTGTGTGTCTGTCTTTGTTTGCGTGTCGCCAGGTTCTCGCTCCTACAGGTGAAGCAGATTCTCACATTTTAAACAGATGGAGACACAAATTTTAGGTCAGAGCTTGTTTTTTTTTGTTGTTTTTTTGTTTTTTTCCCACTCTGTGCACTTGACACTGATCATGATGGAAATCCAGTTGGTCCTTTCATCTTTCTGCTCTTACTTTCACCTCAGCGCTGGTGCACATTAAAGGGGCGACCTGTTATAATCATAGGTGAAGAAAACACAACTCACTAAAACTTTATGAGGTGCTCTGAACTCAAAAATTGCCAGAATGCGATGCGATAATGGAAAGTGCATTTGAATGGCTGAAAACTTTGCTTTTGGGTGGATTTTGTTTTGTATGTAATGAGTCAAAATGTATGATTAGCCTGCTAACACCTGAGGCAGACAGTTGCAAGGAGGCATGTGATCTTGCGTGTGTGTGTGTGTGTGTGTGTGTGTCCTTTTGCGTAAAGCTTGGTATGTGTGTGAGAGAAAGCGGATTGAAGCCAGCATTCTCAGTGGGCTAAGAAGAGGAAAAACAGGGATAAGAGCCTCTTCAAAGAGCAATGAATTTGTTTAAGAAGCCGGTGTGTTTTAGCAAGTCAACCAGAATAGGTAAGAGGAAGATTGTGTGTGAGAAGACTGGGCGGATGGAGGGCGGTGATGGGGTGATCTTGTTGAAACTCGGACAGAAAAACATGCTTCTCACTTAGAAAAAAAAAAAAGGGGGGGGGGGGTTTACCTAACATTAGACAAAAGTGTCCATCCGGACCTTGATCCCCACTCTGCGGTCCCTGGATTCCTGTTTCCACTTGTCTTGCTTTGACAAGTTTCTTTCTTCTTGTCTCATTTTACAGCATCTGGGGGCCTTTGACCAGACTCATTCCCCTCGAAATAGGCTAATTGTGTTCAGTTGACTTCCTTGGATGCAACAAGGCCTTATGAGTTAATCACCCAGGAAAGCCTCTTAGTGACAGCTATGCCTTAATTGCATACCAGACTGTGCACATCAATTTGGATGCGGCACATCCAGATTCCGTCTGCATGAGAATGCAAGTTTGAGTCGAGAACGTTTTGGTAGTAGAGGACAAGAGCACACAGAACTGAAGTAAGAGTGTGCGTGGAGTTTTTAATTAGATCCAATTTACAGTGATTAGGCTGATAATTAGTTCTGTTTGTACAGAAGATGCAGTATCCTGAGACAATCATATACTCTCGTAATAGATATTTTTTCTGTGCTCTGTTGTAGAACTGACCGATTTGAAACAAAACCAAGCTCAAAAATGGACGTTCACCGACTGTTTGAGATTCAAATGAAACTCAGTAAATGCAAGATGTCTGATTCCGCCTCATCTGCTGATGTATGATTTGACCACAAGGGAAATCTTTCTTTCGTTCCTCAACATTTTAAACACTCATTGGAAACATAAGTTCCACCAGCTTGCCAATGGAAAAAACAAACAAACATAAAGCTGTTAGTTTAAGGTTTAATTAAACAGAACTGGTTTTGTGTCTCATCCAAAACTAAAAGGATGGCACAGGGATCAGTGTGACAATAAAAGGGGAATGATACTGGGTGGACTGAACTTTTTTTTTTTTTCCTTTTAGGCAATGTGACCGACGTACCCACTCATTTTCTCCGTACTCTCATCTCGCCTGCTCGCTCCATGCTGGGCCGTAGCCGTTTATCCAGGAGAGCAGGGGTGAAAACACTAACCTTTTCCGCACAGCTATAACTCCACACCATGACACCGAACCAACATTGCTTCAGGGTCCCTCAGTGCTCTCTGTGAAAATGTCAGACGCTCTTTTCATCTGGGAGAAATCCTATCTGATTTACTCTACTCCCTTTTCCTCGGCCAAGGCGTCTGTTTGTACAGGACCATGTTTCATTTGAATATCAAAGTCAGTAAGGAGGTGGCCAGACACTTTAAGTGACTTTTTTTTTTTTTTTCATGGGGGGTTCTCTCCAGGAATGCGACTGCTTAGTGTCCTGGACTGATCAGGAATCTGATCAGTCCTACAAAGCAGTCTTTGTGGTACCAAGGGGACCATGATCTCTATTTACCCATTCGCTGCTCCATGGATGAAATGAACATAGATGTCCATTTGCATCCCAGGGTGCAACTTTTTAAGCTTCACAGCCTATATGGTACTTAAAAAAAAAAAAATGCTCACATTTTTGCATCTGAAACCAATGAACCCTGATGGTGAACATGTTTCCAACATACTTCTCCTCACCATGCAGCACACAGCAACAGGCAGATCAGGATCATGCGATGCATCTGCCAGAACAGTATCTGGTTTAAAATCTGCTCAACACAGTTTTTTTTCTTTTTTTTTCTTTTTTTTTAAGCAAATCAAAGCTTTGTTGTCCTGATGGAATGTGTTTTTCACAAAACTTCAACAAACAAAGAAGTTAAATAAATTTGGCTTCATATAAGAGACGCCAGAGTGTTTCACCGCGCAAGTTGGCAGCTGCTCAAAACTGCACCCAGGAAGAGGAAGCAATTTGAAAACCTATTTATCTCTAAACATGTCCTGGATCAAAAGCATTAACGCAAGGACAAAGCCAAGTGAAAGTATTGCCAATGGATTGCAAAACAATAAAGTGTCACTCCTAAAGTAGCAGGAAGCATTACGGAAAACATAACAGGAAAGAAACGCCTATACTTGCAGAATGCCTTGTTAAAAAACGTTCATCTTTTGCAGATATTCCCATATTACAACCAAACACCAGTCATAACTCGAAAAACCGACACGGATGTACAGAACTGTCATCTGAAGGAACATTTGAAAAATGTGGCTTGGTTGGATTTCTATCCAGTCATTCTTGTATCAATACTTAGAGTAACTTATTGCTCTGCAGATCTAGAGCCCAAAATCTGTTGTCCGTTCCTCTTCACAAAATATTTTAAGCCCAGTCAGATGGAGAGCTCTAGCAAAACATTCATTTTTAAATCGCGACAGATTCTCAATTGGATTTAGATCAGAACTTGGTGACGTTTGTCACCGTCTCACTGAAAAGTAAAAATCTGCCCCAGCTTAAAGTCTTTTGCAGACTCCAACAGGTTTCCTTCCAGTATTGCCCTTTATTTAGCTCTGTTTACTACTACATCACCTTTGACCAGCTTCCTTTTCAGATTTTTACTTTTTTAGAAATATTGGTATGTATTGAAACCATTAATCCTTTCTCTCAGTGTAACAATTAAACACTCCTTTATGTCGAATTATCTCAAAAAAATCCTTAAAATTTGTGGTTGTAATTTGACAACAGCAACAACAACAACAAAAAAAAAAACTAATTGGAAAAGCTCCAAAGATAATAAACACTTGGGTGAAGCACTGCACTAGGTAAAGTAAACATTAAAGATGTTTGCACATACATGCCTAAATTACTGTTAAATTCCTTTAAATTTTATCTTAACTGAAAAAATGAGCCCAACCCCCAGCAGCTACTCTTTTATCTTTCTTCTTTATTCCCTTGAGATGCAACACTGAATGAATAATAATGTCTCGTGGATGCTTGAGTGAAAACGGGCGCAGTTAGTGCATTAGGTTAGAGATAATAGCCACAAGTCTTTACAAGCCAACAGCATTAACCCTATAAAGGATCAAAACTTGTTTGTACATCTACTGAAAATCAAAGGTGAACAGACAAACAGCTGTGACAACGGAAGAGTCATTTGACCCAGGATTGAATGCTGATTGCACCATTCCCAGTGAAGACAAAAGATAAGACTTTTGTGGGCGTTAGTGGTTTGTTTGTCCAGCGTGAACAGGGGCTTAGCAGACGACTAAGCAAAATGCCACAAAGCTTTTAGAGGTTTTAGTGAGAAACAATGAGTTATTCTGGTTCCCAAGAGCTCAAGAGATGCAAAAAAAAAAAAAAAAACTAAACTGTGTACAACTTATTCCCTATAAGACTGTGTCCAAATACACTTGACAAGAATGATCCAAATGTTGGACTGCTTATGAAAAAATAGATTACACATTTTTCTTGTGGTAAGGATCTGCCCTCTGAGGGAGCTGACTCACTCATCTCAGGCTTAGATAAACTTTAAAAACTAATCCTTCTAGCTATTTACTTGGAAAGGTGTAACTTTGATCTGAAAATGCATCACACCCAACTTAACAGCTGCCAACCATGGAGCTACTGGGATTTCCTGGCTGCCTTATTCAGGGATCAATCTAAAATTTAGAAGCCCAGTGCAGTCCGAGAGTATTAGTTTTTTTTTTTTTTTTTTTTTTTTTTTTTCCAATTTCATGGATTTAAACATTGTTGCAACAATTTCAGTCAAAGTGAAAGTAATCAGAGACATTAAGCATTTATTTTTCTGCAGCTGTGGATTTTATGTGCACGACGGCCACATTGCATTTAAAAACTGTGATTGGTGAGACGTCTCCAGCCTTCCGAGTCATAGTTCTATTTTAAGAATGTGTTCCTGTTGATTTTTTGCAACCTGGAGCTTGGATTATATCTAAGTCTTTGAATAATAATTAAAACAGCTCAGTAGAGTTTTTGCTCGTGGTTTAATGCAAATTACATCCAAAACATTAGTAGTAGTAGGAGTTTATCTGTTAATATTGATGACGTCTAAGAAAGATGATATGACTCTCTGTTGGAAACTGATTTAAATCTACTGACTTTCACAGAAGCAGACTTTTTGTTCTTTATCTCTAGTCCATTGCATTTAAAATAATGTATTTTTACAAAACAAAGACTCTTAGCTTTGCACTTGCTTGGGAACAAAGATTCCCAGAGTGATTTTAAAAAGCAGTAGTGTCCATTTGTGTAATAACGACAGAAGCGCTAGCTAGATACATAGTTGTGTAATGTCACAACTATCTGAAATAACGAAAATATAAGGTTGTCAGCAATAAATCCTCGGAAACTGGTACAAAAACACTTCTTTTTATGCTTGCAGGAATTGCAAATCAAGATGATAGCTGTAAGAAAATCAAGTTTGCTAGCAGAGTTAGAGCTCTGGCCTACGGTAGATTTTTTTTGTCTGAACAGTGCAGACATATGTGGATCGTTCTTTTTTCTGCAGTGGTTTCTGCGATCTTATGTTTAACCATCCCAAATGTGTCCAGGCTGCATTCACATCTGCACCCAGTTCTGGATACCATCAAAGATGTACGATAGTGCTTTTAGTTGGCTGAGGTTATGAAAGATCTATTTTGGAAAATCTCAAACTGTGGGTTGTTTACATCCATACTACGGCTCCTTCTTACTCCGTTTGTTTGTCGCAAGTAACAGCCAACGGCGTTTCATGAAACGAAAAGTTTCCCACAGTGTGCATTGCTCTGACAACGTTGCGTGCTAGCCGGCATCCATCAGTTTTTGTAATAACACCAGCTGAACCAGACTTCACATTAAATTATTGCAGCTTGGCACTTCCAGTGGTCAAACCTCCACAGGGTACCTTAGTTTCAAAAGGGCTTCAACCATGTTCTGAAAGCACTGTCATTTATTTCAAGAAAGACCTTTACTTGCACGCAGATGTGCAGCTGCAGGCCAGCTTTGGATTCCTTAAAGCCCTCCTTTATGCATAAAGATAAAGACGCGAGATAGACTCAGAAACATAGCAAACAAAGGCATTTCAACTGGATAATGGCATATTGTTCTCGTGATTACACTGTCAAACATCAGAAACCTTATCTGCCACTTTATCTGTGCTTTGAGAGTTTACCTGTATCTTGAAGTTTCTGCACTGAAGGCCTGGCATGTTCTGACAATGGTCCTGTAGGTTCTCCTAAACGCTTTCATCTGATGAGCAGGGTACGCGAAGAAGAATCGCTCTGCTACTGAGGAAAAGCAACACAAGGATGAGGAGCACACTGTTAATTAGAGTGAAACTGAAAAAGGAAATGCTTTCCCTGAAATAATTTGCACAAGAGGTATCTGAACCTAGGCGCTACCTTCACTCAATAAACGCCATGATAGATTTCAGGTAGCTCCTTGTTCCTTTTTTATTCCGTGTCAAATTTTGCGAATAAAAACTTGAACCGAATTAAATATCCGTTGGAATGTTTTGTCTGTGCTGGGAAATTTGACTTTCCAAGTCTTAAATTCAATATGGCTGCATTGCCTGACGCTGAACTCGGGGTTGGCTGGGTAACTCTCACTTTCAGGTGTTCGTGTTTTGTTTTTGTTTTTTTGTTTTTTTTTCCAGTTTGGAACTTGGAAAGTCAAACTTCCCAGTACAAATGAAACATTCCAATAGGCATTTATTGGACTTTTATTGGCAAAATTATAAAAGCTGCAGAAGTAAATTGCCTGATATGTTAATATTAAACCAATCACACACACAGAACTGCACAATCTCTATATGTGAGGGTGTTTCTTCATGCCTTCAGTGTGTGTTACTAGAAGCAGTTAGCCTGGTCACTCTGCACAACAATGTTGCTTCTGTTCAGTTTGACCTGGACGTTGTAGCTCAGTTCCCCCATACTGAAAGCATTCTGTTTGCTAGTTGGAAAACCAGAAGGTATTTGGGTGCTAGATGCCACAATATGCGCAAAAAACTAAAATATTTTTCATTATTTGTTTCCTTAATTTCTAATGGAACATGTTCAGTCACAGTACTCTGTGTGCTGTTGGTTTAATGAGGTGTAAACCATCAAAAGTGCCAATAAACCAATTGTACCTGCAACTTTTACAATTCATTTTCGCTGGAGTCTTATTGGATCCTTAACTCGAAGCTCTTTACAGACGTTCAACTTTCAGAGGCAGAATTCTTACATTGAATGCATCATGAGTTCCATTTTCTAAGACAAATTGCATACATCATAAATCATAAAAAATTTAAGGTGTCTTAATGTTTTATTTAAACATGATTCCCTCCTTTGGGACCATTTGATACTCTCCTTCCCGCTCTTCCCATTTTTCTGATTGTTTACTGTGAAAAGAGGCCACTAGTGCCACAAACTCTTTCAAATAAATATATGAATGATATTTATTTTGGTGGGCTAGGGGGTTCAGTCACAATGAAATAAAGATTTTTTTTTTTTACATTATACATAACACAATGTTTTCTATATCTTGACTTCCCATCGTCTTCACTTTTTCAGAAGCTGAATATTCATATGGTAGTGTTTTCACATAAAGATAATTTTTGTGTAATATGAGCAGAAAACTTTCAAAATTTGTTTTCCTTAAAAGTTTACTTAAATGTTTTTGATAAATTCTATACTTGCAAAAACAAATCACTTAATTCTGAAAAGAAATACTTATAGGAATGTAGTAGAACAATATACAATTTAATTCGTGAAAAATATACTGAAATAGTGCTGAGAAGAAAAAAAACAGGTAAATTTCTGAAAAGAACTGTAGATATTAAAAATGCCACTGGACACACACTGCAATATGTATATATGGATCTAAGGAAAGGCAAAAAGCTTCAGATAAAAAGGTCTCAGAAAATAATATTTTACCATGTTTTAATGATCTAATTTTTAAAATATACTCTAATTACCTATTTTGGGCTCACTCCAGGTGAGCTTCTGTTTCTGATAGTAAAGAAATAAGCTCACCTGATGTAACTGTGTTAACTGATCCTATAGATATGCAGTTATTCAGTAATAAATTGTATTTTTTATATAAATAAATGGAAATGAACTGCAGATTTTCTCCAATCAAATTATCTAGGTTTTACTTATGTATGTCAGAAGGTACAACCAACCTATAATCTTAAATGATCTACATAAATGCCCACTGTCAATTTAATACTTTGAATCAACATTCTTTAAAACACAGTTTTAGGTTGTCTACATAAGTCTTTTGTAAATCCAATGCTCTTCCGTAATGGATAACATCTTTATTATCATTTCACTACGCTTAAAACGCTCAAACTGTTTAGGCACTATGTAACCATGATGAAAACAGAGCAATACCCATAATGCACCGCCCGATGGGGTTTACGATTTATTCACGGTAAAGTTCGTAGAACGATTTACTAGAGAGTTCAGTGGTGATATTGGTATCCGTTAATATTATTTTTAACCCTCCTGTAGTTTGTTGGAGTTCTAATTCATTTTTTTTTTTTTTATTATCGTCGACTGTTTGTCACCGTCAGTGTGAATTGTATGTCTGAGTATAAAGGCCTGTGAAGCCCTAAAGATATTATAGTCATGTTTGTCTCCAAATTGTATAAATCTTTCGCCTTTTACTAAAAACTTCCGTGGAGAGGAATAACATGAGTTTCACCTAAGTTTTAATACCCTGTCTATATTAGGGTTCCAGGAAATGTAGACATGACTTACTACGGAGATCTGTATCATTTGAAAATTAACAAAGAGGAAATGTGATAATAACAATAAACAGTTTTTATTTCATTGATTACAAACACACAAAACCTCCCTGCATGCCAACCTAAAGATTGTGGCTGGGAAAGTGGGGATTAAAAGTGAAATCTTTATAACATTATTTTTGCAATTATGATTCTTGCCGATGGTGTCGCTGTTTTTTAATGTTCTTCCTAACATGTGAAGAAGAGAAGGGGAAGGTCAAGAATTAAACATGGCGGCCCGCAGTTTGCTAAGGTCTATTTGGACCTCATTTGCGGGTTTAAAACAGGGTTTCACGGGGACCAGCGTTAATTCACTCCTCAGGGTTAATGTTCCCCAGATATCTGCTGTGGCCATGCAGACAAGAGGAATTCGTCAAGGTGAGGCTTCGTCAGAAATGGTGCTGCTTTAGCCACCCGGTCGTGTTAGCATACAGTTAGCCTGTATTGAAATGATGTTTCCTCTCATTGTTGTCAGATACTCGCCTTCTATCTATACAAAGAGACGATGGAGAGATAATTAGGAGTTTAAACATGTTTGGAAAGAAGGTTTCGATATTATCTAAAGCTAAGAAGACGCATAATCGTAGCCTGTAAACCTAATGTATCCCATGTGTCAACAAATGTTTTTATTAAATTGTTACAATTAAATCTTACGTTCAGCATCCTACTGTCTAAGATTACAAATGAGTTGTCTTGCAGAGGCTTTCACTTCATTTACAGCTTCGAGTAAATGTTACTTTAAGAATCGTTCCAACAAGAGAAACTCGTCTATGGTATGCAGTAGATTAATTTCTCGTAGAGTGAAGTATTTCAAGTCCTTAATTCCTAGAAATTTGGTAATGAAGGTTACATAAGATGACAACCATTCAGCATTCAGTGTCAGAAAATTAATGTTACACAAGATCGATAAAAAAAATGATATAAACATAATTATCAGGCTCTTGAAAAGTATATTCAATTCTATGCATTTTATACTTAGTTTCGGCTCCTTTCGCAAGAGTTGGTCAGCCTGTGGTTCTGCTGAAACATTATCAAAGAACCTCAGGTTGCCATGACAGTGGCCTTTAGGTCATCTGCATTATTGGGTCTGGTGTCTCTCATCTTCCTCTTGAAAACACTATGTAGGTTTCTAAATAAAATCCAAACTTTACCCGTTCCGTGTCACAGATTTTCTGTTTCAAAGGTTTTCATTATTTGCAAATCATAAATTTACAAAATAAAAATGGCAAGAAACTAAGTCTTAAAATATTTAATTCTGTGTGTAATACATCTGCGAGCATCTGAATTGAGTAATAAATATTGGACTTTATTTAAATAGTTCCTCAAATTTTTTGAGCTGTACTTACAAATGATAGATAAAAATCATCAGTCACAGACTTTGAACTTGAACTCTTTCTTCTTTGGCAATTTTTTTTACGTGTTTTTGAGACAAAAGTTGCATTTTTAAGTGATGTGTTCATTAGATGTGTTTTATGAGAGTTGTTTTAATCTATACTTGTTTTACTCTCCCTTTGGCTGGTCCTATTTGGGTTGCTACATAAAGTAAAATGTAATTTAAAAAATACTGTTGAGGTCGTTCATGATTAAAACCTGATATTGTTTATTGTCTGCTTCACAGTGGTGGAGAAAAAAGACGGCAAAACAACAACTGTAAGTAAACTTTGTCATCTCAAACAATTAGATTTTATTTTCTCTTTGTTTTGAGTGTTGTTAGTGTAGTATGATCAAGAAGTATTTTTATATGTATTATTATTATTACTTTTAATAATGCACCAGTCAAGCAGGCTAGATGGAGAATTTGATACATTTTCTCCTGATTGACCCTGATTTGTGACCGGCAAATACATTCAGAAAAATCAGCATATCTTTTTTGTATTTATTAAATCAAAACTAAGAATTCCCATCATTTTCTCTCTCCAGAAAATCTTCAACTAAAATCTTGTACTTGATGACACATTTTTGAGTTTAATAAAAAAAAAAAAAATAAAAATAAAAAAAATGAGAGGTTAGAAAAGAAAGAAATCAGACCAAAATTAAATTTTTTTTCCCCTGGTCTATACACCAAATTGGGGCATCTCTAAAGGCCCCCCCCCCCCGCCTCCCAATTAACATTAATGATTATTAACTATCACAGTTCATGTTTTATCATTCCTTTTCTATTTCTAGATTGAGGGACAAATCATAGAAATACCAGCAGGACCACAGCCTCCAAATCCTACAGCCAAGTGTCCTATCTACAGGTGGAACCTGCAACACAAATACAACTACACTGTAATGCTCCAGAAACGCTTCCAGAATAATCCTATCAATTTAGCTGTATCGAGATGCTTCATTGTCTCCGTTCTAATTCCCCAGGACGTCTTATTGCTCAGCCAGTTCATCAGGTCAGATGGAGGGATGCTGCCCAGACGAATCACCGGTCTTTGTTTGGAGGAGCATCGCAAGATTGCCATCTGCGTGCAGATGGCGCACAGAGCAGGTGAGCGTCTAGCTGGATAAAGCGAGGCTTGCATTTACTAAGGTGTTTCTGTGTTTTTAAGGTTCTGTTGTGCTGGGAATGTGTCGCAATCATGAAAACTCATTGTGGTTTCTATGCAGATTATTAGAAGTAGAGCTGCATCTGCTGGTTGGGTAAAAAAAACAAAAAAACAAGAACATTCTCCTTCATAGCAAAAAAGCACCCGTCTCTTCGCCATTTAAGTTGCACAACAAAACGGGAAAAAATGGAACTGGGAATAGGCATGGAACTTTGTCAAGTTGCATTTGAATTATCTAACATATTTTTATTTTTTTTTTAGACAAATAAGACTAAAGTGGGAAGTACAATATAACTAAAACTTGCATGCCCTTTGAAGTCTACCATGCAGTGTTACAAATAATAACACTATTGGTGAACCCAGATAACATTTTTGCCTTTGAGGTTAGCTGGGCAAAACACTGGTATTGTTATGGGTGACTATGTTTTTAGTATCTGCAAACAGATACATATTACTTAAGTTATATAAAAGTGGGAAATGACTGAGAAACTAATGCTGGGAATATTCAACTTGTAAAAATGATTGGCACCTTCCAATTACAAAAGTCCTCCATTTATCTTGGGTGGATATCAAACGTATCACCTGCTAACTTGGACTTTTTCCGGATGTAAATTCCTACCCTGGTGATCTGATTTGCACCTTTTTTTTTTTTTTTTTTTTTTTTTTTTTTTTTTTTTTTTTTATTTTAAAAATATTTTAATTTATTTTTTTCTCACCCTTCTAACAAAAACTTTATATTTCGAATTT